CACACACGCTCGCTCGCTCGCTCACTCGCACGCACGCATGCACACACTCTCTCTCTCACACACACACACACACACACACACACACACACACACACTCATTCTGCAGCTCCGCGCTGAACAAAGATTGAATTCTCGCTCCATGAGTCCTTGAGCTTCTCCGTCTTTGTTCATGTGTTTCCAGTGAAAGGGCCATTACGGCTCCTCCGCAGGGCTGGAAAGTACTTCAGTAATTGTACTTAAAGGTGACTTGTGCGATTTTTGGGATGGAAAATGTATTATTTTATCGCAGTTTAATCTGCAGAGTCAGCTATAAGACAGACATTTGCAGGTTTATTCACTTTCAAAACAGTAGCCTGAGCATCACGACCATCAGACACTGCAACATTGACTCATCCAATGAGGGAACTGAATTCTGATTATTTTGTAGAACTTGAAAAGTGTTGAAACCAGTGTTATTTTAGTATAATTTATATATTATTATAGATTTTGTTAATATTTTGAATGAGGCTTTACTTCTATATTTTTTGTTTTCATTTTCTTTTTAGTTAAATTTGAGTAATTTTGTTGTGTGTTTTTGTCATTTTTAATAGCATAGTCTATATAATTTTATTACATTTTACTATTGTCTTTTAAAATATTTAATATGTAATATGTTTTAATATTTATATTAAATATATAATAATGTATAATAAATAATAGAATTAGAATAATTTATATTTATATTTAAAATGTGTAATATATATATTAAATATAACTAATTTAGTTATAATGTATATTAAATATAACATTATATTAATATTACAATTTTAAAGATTATATTAAATGTATTTAATTATACATAAATAACTTATATCAAATATAACATTTAATATAATTTTCATATTATTTAATGTGTTGCCTTGGCATCAAGTTGAAAAACATATACTTTTTTATTATTATTTGAAATTAATGTTTATTTCAAGTAAATAACTTGTATTATGTATTAATATACTAATGTATAATAATTAATATACGAATTATAATAATTTATATTTATATTCAGAATATATAATTAAAATAAAAATGTATATTAGAAGTAATTTAGTTATAAATAATGTACAGTATATTAAATATAACATTTATATAATAATAATATTAATTATATTACTATTAAATATGACATTATAATTATAATAAATGTATTTAATTTTAAATAGAAAATATAACTTTTAATTTAATTTCATTTTAGTTTCAGTTAATGTTTTATTTCAAGTAATGAGAATGTTTCATGGTTTTAGTTTTAGTTAATGATAATAACCCTAGTTGAAACTGAATAGCTGTGCTTGTACTCAAATAATACTTTGATCCATCTATAAACAATAGTAAACAGCTGATGAATTTGTAGTTTTACATTGAAAGTTTCACTATAATCATGGAGGAGAAAACACCTCCTGTATCTTGTGCTGTTGCTGTCAAAGGTTGTGCATCCAATCAAACTAATATTATTTCAAATTCATCTGTCACTTGTTGAGTTTCCACTGAATAGCCGGTGCAAAATCTGGACTTTGATGCAGAACCAGTTGATCTAGAGGCCTAGTTAGTGTCCTAAACATTGAAATTGAATGCATTTCTTTTTGCATGCAAGTCAAACCTCTTATGAGCACAGTGGAGTGTTTTCATCTTCTCACATCAGTTAACATTGCTTTGTGCTCTTTTCATCCACAGCCTCCAGTAAACACTGTAAATGCTGTTAGACTTACAAACGGTTATTAAAACAGCACTGACATGAATTGAGTCCTTTCCACGCTGAATCTGGTTTTAGAGGCAGAGCATCATTTGAGCAGCCGTAACGATATTGCTTGTTGTGTTTTTGAGGAAGATCAGTGCAGCCGTGCATCCAATCTGTCAGCAGGCTTTGCCTGGAGTTTGATGCTGTTTCGTCATTGCAGAGTTTACAACTGAGAGCAAAACCCTGGCGCTTCTGCGCTGTAGTTATTATATTTTCTCCTGAATTGCAAATGCACCCCTACATTTACAGGGTTTCTGCTGTCTGTCTGTCTGTCTTAATTCTCCCTTCCACAAATGAAGGCTTTAAAAAGGTCTTAAATCAGAGTAGAAAGTCTTAAATTCATAAAGTCATGACATTAAATGTTGCATTTAAAGAAAAGAAAAAGAATCTTCCTCAGTGTTGTTGTCTTGTTTTCTAAATACGAATATCATTTTGTTTTCACTTCCTATTTTCACATCATTTTATTTATTTATTTGTTTGTTTTAGCTTATATAATCTTCATTTTGGTATTTGTTATTTAGTTTAGCTTCAATCAAGTTACTTTTCATATCCTATTTTCATGTCTTTATTTATTTATTTAAACTTACAAAAATCTTATTTTTTGATATATATATATATATATAATTTTTATTATTTCTCATTTTTATCTTGTTTGCATATTTTCTCATTTTACAAATATCTAAACATCCCTAAATCAAGATACATTTACTTGAGTTACTTAATAGGGAGTGAAAACATGTTTTCCCTTTCAATTGTGTTTTTGAAACCATTGGCAGATAATTGTTCTTGTTTTAATCAGAAACTTAATTTTCATAAATTTCTCTGAGAGCAAGACTTCATATTTTGTCATTTTGCTTGATTTAAGAAACGTTAGACATTTGCCTCTGGAAAACAAGACAAAAACACAGAGGAAGAACAGCACTTTTTTTGCAGTGATGAGAAGGTACATTAAAAGATATTTCCATTTTCTAGTTAAGCTATTTTTAAATACATTAAAAAGTATTGGATATTCCTTACATTTTCAGTACTTGCTCCTAAATAGGCCTAAAGTCTTACAATTACCTTGATAAACCTGCAGAAAACCTGATTTGAAGTGCTTCTGAAGAGCATAATGGTGTCTTCCTCTCGTTTCCTCTCTTAAAAGATTAATCACAAGCTCTCTTCAGTCACAGCATTCCCTAAAACTCAGTTCATGAGCTCCGACAGTGACTCCGAGTTATTTTCCAAGACGGAGTCACGAGGGCTCTCGTGTTTGTGCCCTTTACTCGCACGGCTCCTCAGACCTGTGGCTGTTTTGCTGGTTTTTCTCTGGCAGCTAAACGAGGCCGTGTTTGTTTGCGTCCCGCTCCTGCCGTTAGGGCGCCGTGGAGCAGAAATAAACGCCCCCCCGTCGAGACCGCAGCTCTCTGACATTTTCATGAGGCGAGGAAGGTGTCGGGGCAGAACGGAGCTGCTCACGCATGAGGATCACTCGATCTTCAGAGCCCGTATTTCATCAGTGTGTAAACAACAAGATGCTTTGTTATACGATTAGAAACGGGGTTTGCGTCAGCATGAGGGTTTGTGTGTTTACAGGATGTGAGAATCAGATAAAGTCAGAATATGTGAGCACATGTTTGCAAAGTCAATGTGACATCAAAATCATAGTTTTATACATGATTTATTGGTGCATGCTGTTCCAGACTGTTTGTTTTTGTAATGTGATGTGATTTGTTCTGCCTCAAAAACAGCTTGTCAACTCCTCTCCTCCAATCACACGACTCCATTCTGATGCAACGCCCACTTTTTGCAAACCAGTCGGTTCATGATTAATAATATTAAGTCCCTCTATGCTATTATTTTGTATTGAATATCCTATTACACGCAGTAATCTGACATTATAGAAGTCTAGACTAGACTTTTTTTTGTCATATCCTCTTTTCATGTTTGTTTGTTTGTTTGTTTATTTATATTAAAAAACGTTCTTGTGAAACTTTTGTTTTCATATTCTATTTTCACGTCTGTTATTTATTTAAAATACTTTTCATTTTCATATCCTATTTCATGTCTATTTATTTACTTTAATTCTGTATTCTTTTATTTACTTTAACATTTATTTTAACCTTCATTTTTATTAAGTTTGATTTTGTATCCTATTTATTTATTTAAAAAGCTTTTCATTTTCATATCCTATTTTCAAGTCTGTTTATTTATTTATTACACATTCAGTTATTTATTTTTATTACGTATTCTTTTATTTATTTTAACATTTACTTTAAGCTTCATTTCAAGTTACTTGTTTTCATATCCTATTTATTTATTTATAAAAAAATAAGGTTTGTTTTCATTAGTGGTTGACCGATATGGGTTTTTTGACTGCTGATATCTTGGAAAGCAAAAAGATAATTGTGTAAAATAAACATATTATTTAACACGTATAATAAACACGCGTTGTCAAAATAAAAGTCACGCCTCGAACACTTCGGCCAAACAGAAAAACTTATCGGCCGATGCCGATATTTGAAAAATGTCAAATATCGGCCGATATATCGGTCGACCACTAGTTTTCATAAATAAAATATATATGAAAATAGTTTATGAAAACAAATAATTAAATTTTTATAAATAATAAAATACATATAAAAATGTTATTTAGCTTAAAAATGCCCTTCATTTTTGTTAAGCTTTTTGTTTTCATGTCCTATTTTCATAAATCATAATATTCATAAATGTATGTGTGTGTCAATAGATGGATAGATAGATCAAAAATAAGCTATTTGTTTTCATAAACGGCATTTTAAAAGTTTATGAAAACAAAAAGCTTAATTATATAATAAATAAATAAAATGTATTTTGAAGGCTTATGTTTCGAGAAGCATATAATATAACTGGAATGATAATTCTTATTTTACCCTGACATTGAGATTGATTGACTCTATCGGACGAATCCGTTTTACAGGTCAGTCGAAGTCAGTGTCTGTCGTGCTCTGTGTGATCGATGTGCTGATGATACACATGGCCGCGAGCGATGTTAGCGTCTGCACTAGCATGATGGGTCACTCACAAGCAGAGAAAAACAATGCTAAATGCAAACAATAGAATGCAAATAACCATATCTTTGACTAATTCTTCAGAATGTACAGTCAAATGTTCCTGTGCGATCACTAACCAGTGTTTATCTGTCTCTCTTTCTCTCTCATGTGCCGTGTGTCTGTGGGCTGGCCCTGATCCTTCTCAAACACCTCTTCTAAAGGTAACATGCTTTATTTTACTCTTTTACCATGGCAAAAGGCCTTCAGGCGCTCTCTGTTGCTGTTGTAAGATGACCCTGCTGCAGTGCTGATGGCGGCTGGTTTTAAGGCTTTCGGAGGACGAGAGCTTGATCTGCTCAGCTTTGATGTATTTTCCTAAATAAAGAAGAGGAGGACGATGCCCTGAGGAGCGCTTTATGGCTCAAAGCTTGTTCTTATGGAGTCTTGAGGACTTAAAGGAGTTCTTGCATATGTTTCATTTAAATATTAACTTTGGCTTTGTTGTTTCTGCTTAAATTTCTGAGGAGAGATTCAGATCGAAATGAGATGATGGTTGACATGCAGTAAGACTCTGATTCTAAAACCTGTGGAAATAATAATTCATTCATTTTAGCCAGATGCTATTGTGTCCTTTATGGAAATGGAAATCCAATCAGTTATTTTCGCATACTATCATAGTTTTTATTAATATATTGAATTAGCTTTGATTTCTATATTTTCGGTTTTTAGTATTATGTACATTTTACAGTTTTTTAATATTGCTATTTAAATAAAAAAAATTTTATTTAGTTTTATTTCCATTTAGTAGTTTCCAATTTCTCATTTTCATTTAGTTTACATTTTCCATCTACTATTTCATTCATTCATTCATTCTTAATGTTTAGTGTTTCTTTCTTAATGTTTAGTGTTTCATTCATTCATTCATTCATTCATTCATTCATTCAGTTTAGTGTTTCAACTTAAATTTATTTCAATTAGTTTCCAAGGCTACATTTCTAATTTTCATTTACTTTACATTTTATCTGATATTTATATATAATGATTCTATTATTATTATTATTATTATTAGTGTTTCAACTTAAACTTATTTCAATTATTTGCCAAGGCTACATTTCTAATTTTCATTTAATTTAATTTTTTTTATATTTATGTATGTAATAATCATATATTATTATATTTATATTATTTATATTTTTTTAGTGTTTCAGCTTAAACTTAGTTCAGTTAGTTGACAAGGCTACATTTCAAATTTTCATTAGTTTGAATTTTTTATCTAATATTTATTTATTTTTAAATATTTGTTTTTCAGCTTTATTTCTGTTGACATGATAGTTTTCTTTGTTAAAATATTTTACCCTAAATCCCATAAATCAATGCAATAAGTTCATTAAAAAAAAGAAATAAATACAAAGAAAAAAAATTATAATTCTATTCCATATGGCAGGCAAAGCGAGAGAAATGCTGGCAAACATTTGATACCAAAAACATAAATAAATATAGTTTAAAATAGGTGAATTTATCCAATATTTATTTTATGCTTATTAGTCAGTCTTCTTAATCATGGCTTTGTTGCATATGCAGGTTTTGGATCCGAGTTCTACATGAATGTGAATCACATGTCAGATCATCTGCTCTGAGAGATTTCAATAAGAAATGTTTGTTCACATTGAGGTCCCTGACATTTGATTGTAGACTTTGGCAAATCTGAGCACAGTTGGAGATCTTTGAGGTCTTTTTGTCAGGAGAAACATCTGAGAAGCAGGAGACTTTGCTCGTTTCATTGCTGTCTATGAGAAACAATGAGTATAGAGCTGCAATTTTGCTCACGTCATTCCCATATGACTTACTTTATTTTGCAGAAGACATACGGATCGTGATATTCAGGGTGAAGTTTGTTCATGCAGCCCATTTTCATGAGCTCCAATAAGGAAATATCATAAAGCACCATTGTATTTAATTTGCCATTTGATGCTTTGTACGAGAAATGGTCTGAAATTTAAGATGTAATTCTCTGAAACCTTCTTAAATCATACACGTATTCAGTCCAGGTTTGACGTCACTGGTTCTGGTGCGTCTCAAGTTTGAGAAAGTCTTTGATTGGCTGTTGTCTGTCTTGAGCAGGATCATAACGTCCGCTCTTACACGGCGAAACGGCAGTGTTATTGAGTCGGGCGGTGAGAGATGCTGGTGTTATTACTCTCAAAAAGCACACCGCACTCTCGCTGTAATCCCTGAGAACCCATCTGGTCTGCGTCAGGCCGCTGTCACACTGCCCTCATTCACCGCCGCTCATGTTTAAATCGGCTCTCATCCCTCCCGCCGCTGCTGCTGGTACATTTATATTCCTCTGACACCGACATCCATAATCTGCCCTGAGAGGCACTTCATTCATTCATTCATTCATTCATTCATAATGTTTAGTGTTTCAACTTAAATTTATTTCAATTAGTTTCCAAGGCTACATTTCTAATTTTCATTTACTTTACATTTTATCTGATATTTATATATAATGATTCTATTATTATTATTATTATTATTAGTGTTTCAACTTAAACTTATTTCAATTATTTGCCAAGGCTACATTTCTAATTTTCATTTAATTTAATTTTTTTTATATTTATGTATGTAATAATCATATATTATTATATTTATATTATTTATATTTTTTTAGTGTTTCAGCTTAAACTTAGTTCAGTTAGTTGACAAGGCTACATTTCAAATTTTCATTAGTTTGAATTTTTTATCTAATATTTATTTATTTTTAAATATTTGTTTTTCAGCTTTATTTCTGTTGACATGATAGTTTTCTTTGTTAAAATATTTTACCCTAAATCCCATAAATCAATGCAATAAGTTCATTAAAAAAAAGAAATAAATACAAAGAAAAAAAATTATAATTCTATTCCATATGGCAGGCAAAGCGAGAGAAATGCTGGCAAACATTTGATACCAAAAACATAAATAAATATAGTTTAAAATAGGTGAATTTATCCAATATTTATTTTATGCTTATTAGTCAGTCTTCTTAATCATGGCTTTGTTGCATATGCAGGTTTTGGATCCGAGTTCTACATGAATGTGAATCACATGTCAGATCATCTGCTCTGAGAGATTTCAATAAGAAATGTTTGTTCACATTGAGGTCCCTGACATTTGATTGTAGACTTTGGCAAATCTGAGCACAGTTGGAGATCTTTGAGGTCTTTTTGTCAGGAGAAACATCTGAGAAGCAGGAGACTTTGCTCGTTTCATTGCTGTCTATGAGAAACAATGAGTATAGAGCTGCAATTTTGCTCACGTCATTCCCATATGACTTACTTTATTTTGCAGAAGACATACGGATCGTGATATTCAGGGTGAAGTTTGTTCATGCAGCCCATTTTCATGAGCTCCAATAAGGAAATATCATAAAGCACCATTGTATTTAATTTGCCATTTGATGCTTTGTACGAGAAATGGTCTGAAATTTAAGATGTAATTCTCTGAAACCTTCTTAAATCATACACGTATTCAGTCCAGGTTTGACGTCACTGGTTCTGGTGCGTCTCAAGTTTGAGAAAGTCTTTGATTGGCTGTTGTCTGTCTTGAGCAGGATCATAACGTCCGCTCTTACACGGCGAAACGGCAGTGTTATTGAGTCGGGCGGTGAGAGATGCTGGTGTTATTACTCTCAAAAAGCACACCGCACTCTCGCTGTAATCCCTGAGAACCCATCTGGTCTGCGTCAGGCCGCTGTCACACTGCCCTCATTCACCGCCGCTCATGTTTAAATCGGCTCTCATCCCTCCCGCCGCTGCTGCTGGTACATTTATATTCCTCTGACACCGACATCCATAATCTGCCCTGAGAGGCACAAACCGCTGCAGTGCCCCATGTCACCTCTAGGGAAAGGAGAACGAGTGCTTATTCAGGTTTTACTCATCAAAAATGCATTAATCCCATCAAAAGTGACCGTACAGACATGTATAATGTTACAGAAGATTTCCATTTCTAATAATTGCCCCTTTTTTAACTTTCTATTCATCAAAGAATCTTGAAAAATAAAATGTATCATGGTTTCCACAAAAATAGGAAGCGGCTAATAATCATAAATGTTTCCTGAGCAGCAATTGTTGCAGTAAATTAGTGTGATTTAATTGATTGTTTTAAAAATTGGGCCTTGAAAATGCTACATAAATAGGTAGAGGAATAGCTCACACTAAAATGAAAATGTATTCATCCTCAAGCCATTCAAATTGAGTTTGTTTCTTCATCCAATTTGGAGAAATGTAGCATTGCATCAGTGTCTCAGCAATGGATGCTCTGCAGTGAATGGGTGCCGTCAGAATGAGAGTCCAAACAGCTGATAAAAACATCACAATAATGCACAAGTAATCCACTCCAGTCCATCAGTGAACATCTGGAGAAGACAAAAGCTGCTTGTTTGTAAGAAACAATTGATTGATTCAGCATATGCACAATATAACTTTTGCTTGCTTTCTTGTATACCTTGCCTGTTGATGTTGTATCTAGAACTAGTTATGCACTATGACCATGTATATAATGTGCAACAGTAGAAATGTAATGATAATAATCAGAAATGTTTCTTGAGCAGCAAATCTGCATATTAGAATGATTTCTGAAAGATCATGTGACACTGAAGACTGGAGTAATGATGCTGAAAATACAGCTTTGATCACAGAAATAAATTAAATTTTCACCTATATTCACATAGAAAACAGTTATTTTAAATTGTAATAATTTTTTACATTTTCACTAGTTTTACTGTATTTTTCATCAAATAAATGCAGCCTTGGTGAGCAGAAGAGACTTCATTAAAAAATCTTACCAGCCCCCAACTTTTGAATTGTAGTGTAAAGCGTCCTGAAATTCATGCTGGTCTGAGCTGGTCTTCTCAGCAGGTTGTAGTGCGGTCAGATGGACATAATAGATAATAGATGTGATGGAGTCATTCGCTCATCAGATCCATCCGTCTGCAATCTCACTTTCCATTTCACATCATCCTGTTTCCAGGCTAAAGTTTGGACAGAGAGTTTGTTTCTCATGATCTTAAAGGGACAGTACAGACGAAAGTGAAATTTGACAGTCTAGGGTCCAAAAACATCCATAGACAATAAATTGTGTAAATATATAATAAACAAAAATAAGTTATTTTTTAATTAAATAAAGGAGTCCATTAATAAATACATTGCATCACATCGTATATAAAAAATATTTATGTAAATATAGAATAACAAAACACACCCCCGGGGGACTTTTAAGTGAAGTGACATGTGACATGTGGCCAAGTATGGTGACCCATACTCAGAATTAGTGCTCTGCATTTACCCATCCAAAGTGCACACACACCATGAACACACACCCAGAGCGGTGGGCAGCCATTTTTGCTGCGGCGCCCGGGG